ATTTACAATATAATCAGATGCAGACAATCACATTGGGTAAATTCCTCCAACCTCCTAAAGAGTTCCTTTTTCTTGTATGGCAATATAAAGACAATTCATTACATAAGGCAACATCCCAGTCACATTGAAATATTGAACAGAGGAAGTAGAATACACAGCATTTGTATTCATGTCGCAGTTCTGCCAGATAAAGGTCATCAGACACAATTTCTCTTATCCCTCTTCCACTTCTCTTACATGAGTCTAACCAAATAATTAGTTACCCAAATGTGCTATCACAATGGACAATTTGGATTTTATCTAACAAGCCGATCAGCCTTCTGAACGCTTATTTAAATAAAACTGTTTGGATAACATCCTTTCATTTTCTTAGCTTTCATTAACTGTGTAAAGTGAAGCACATTTCATTTGGAAGGTGGAGTGGGCAAAAGAAGAGAGGCAGAGGTTGTATACAGCAGCATATTTTCACTACTACATTGTGACAATTATTAATTAAAATATGGAAACAACAGGACAAAAGGAAATTACAAGCTGCAAAAACATAACAAAACTAAAACTTGCAATTAAGGTAAAAGCTAATAGTAAAACTGTTACTATTAATAATGAGAGCAAGATTATCTAAGAGAAATGTGGACCCAAAAAGACAGATGTATCCGTAACTTCAATAGACACCAAGGTAATGGTAGATTTATTAAATGAGTATTTCATAATCATTTTTAAAATAGAGGAAGAGGTATAAAATACTAATCATAGATGAAGAATAAATCAAAGGGAGAATCTTAATGGATTCAATACAACTAATTTTTTTTAAAAAATTGGGTAATGGAGAAATTAATGGGAATTAGGAAAGAAAACCTCTAGGATTTGACAGTTTCCACCCTGGAGTGTTAAAATAATTGGAGAGAGAATTCAGAAGCATTAGTCATAATCTTTCAAATCTATTGTTTCACTGATTATTCAGTTATATTGTGAATTCTAGCCTGTCAGTTTAATGTTAGTTATAGGGATTCTAACCTGTCAGTTTAATGTTAGTTATAGGGAAGTTACTGAGATCTGTCACCACGAACAGTTAGTAAGCAATTAAACAAAAATGAGCTTATCAGAAAGTTAAAATGGTTTTATTAAGTGCAAGTCATATCTGACTAATTCAGTAGCAGTGATGACAATGTCACAAATAAGGGGTACCTAGTGATGTTATCCATAGATCTCAAGAAGTCATTTTGATACAATTCCACAAACAAAACGGCAAAATGAAAGGGGACGGAATTGGAAGTAGACTTTTAACCTGTGCTGGAAATTGATTGGGAGATAGAAAACAAGGAGTTAAGACAAAGGGAATGCTACACAGTGATGATTTTCACACTAGTCAATCTCTTCTAAACAATAGGTTTAAGGTCTGGGATTTGTCCTGGAACTCCACACTCTTTCAATATCTATTAATGACTTAGATAAAGGAATAGATTGGCGTACCAAGTTTGTAGATAAAAATGTTAAGTTAAAAGAGATGATGGAATCACGCAGATGGGAGTAGGAAGTTAAGAAGAAATATAATTAATTGCGTAGTTAAGACTTTGGCCAATTGAGTTCAATAAGGATAAGTCTGAAGTCATTCATTTTGGGCCTGAGCAACATAAATTCTAGTGTTACAAGTTCAGTTGTTGACAAGTACTCAAAATGTAATCAAAAGGTCTGAAAAGTTTGCCCTTATCTCAAGGGGGTTGAAGTATAAAGCAGAGGAACATTTTTCAGCTGTATACAGTCTTGGTCAGATCCCAACTGGAATACTGCATTCACTTTTTGGGCATCCCATTTCAATCCAAGAATTGAACGGCTCTAAAGGGGTTGCAATATGCATTCCCCAGAATGATATCAAAGGTTTATACTGTCAAAGAAAGATTGTGTAAACTCAACTTCTATTTCCCACAGCAGAGGTGGCAGGATCTAGAGAGACTGAAATCCTTGCACACCACAAATTGAAGGATGTGGAGTCGAGATGCAGATCAATCATGATCTAACTGAACGGAGAAGTTTCAAGGGTCTGAATCATCTCCTACTCTTTCAATATTATAGGTGATTAAATATTTAAAAAAACGTGAATGAGAATCGAAAGTTTAAAATAATTGACATCTTTTTAAAAATCGCACAATGGTCTCCTCAGGGCAATCGATATAAGTAATTGGGTTGTGATGTTCTGCTGCTAAAACAGAGCCATACTAAACAGAGACTACTCCTTGAAATCACTGGCTTGTACTCTCAATGCAAAAGTCGCCTCCACGTAGACATATGGCAAAATCAACCAGAGGATATGACGTCTGAAGGTGACTAAGAATTTATACTCTTCCGACACATTACGTTAAGATACTGACATGGATTGTAATCAAGATCTTACTGCCCTGCAGATCGACCATCAGAACATCACCACTTTTAAAGCAGCAGATGCGATACCACAGAACTCTTCTGCAACCCCGATAAGCAAGTCATTATGGTGAAAATGAAGCAGCATTGTAAGTTATTTTTTTGGATAAACGTTTCAGCAACAATACATTTTAATTATGCAAGTGGAGATTCTCCTTTCCCAATTTAGCTGTCCTTTCCTCTCCTCATGCCATGCACTGACAAGCAAGTCAGCTGAGGCCAGGTTTCATGACTAAAGCAGCTGTTTGACTGAGGGAGTCAATGTGGCCTGCCGTGGTCACCTGCTGAGGTTCACTTCATGTCTGGGGGAAGAAATGATCAATTCCTGTTCTCAATTCCTGTTCCAGTGAAAATAACAGAGGTGAGTCACATGAGAAATAACAGGTGCTCAGCAACATCCTGCCACAGAGTACTTCGTGACCACCCTGTCAGATAGCAATTTTAGTCAAACAAACTTTTAAAAGAGCAGGCAAAACTGTGGGATCATGCAATTTTAGGTAAATTTCCTTTTTAACCCAAAGGATTAATTATTACACTAAAATCCCCAAATTCTTAGTAAGGGTGTTGGTTTTGGTTTTCCATACTGAAATGTTAACGTTAAAGGGTTTTCAGATGCAGATAAAGCATCTGAGTACTTTCAACATTTTCTTTCCATTTCCATTTTTAAAAATGCATTAAGTGAGGATGTTGATGCTACTGTAGATGACTATATCTGCTTTTATAAATTATGATTTTTATTGATTTGGGCTGTTTATTCCTGAGCCACTAGGTGGCATCTGTGTTTGACACAAGCAGTCAAATACTGCACACAGCTGCAACTAGGTACACACTAGATCATGCCACAAACCACAGTTGAATTGTTGAGAAAAGAAAGCAGCCAAATATTTGCCGCAGGTCAGCTGTTCAGCTACAGAGCAGAAACTGGACATTGTTTTATGAAGACAGAAATCGAGAGAGTCTATTTATTTGTAACTTAGATATTTAGTTCCATATTATCTTCATACACATCTGAAAGGAAATTCTTTTCTTAAATAACCAACTTGATATGAAAGATTTGAGGTGAAAATATAGTGGGGACAAGCCACATTAAAAGCACTGTTAATTTCCTCATTCATCAAAGCTACCAAGAAACAGGCTGGAAACTAGTCAGCTCAATGAGAGCACCAAAAATGGTTTCAACTCAAGGCACTAGGACAGAGTAAATTAGAATAAGTATAAATTACAGCAGAGGCATTCAAAATTAAGTAAATAAGCTTAAATTTTGATTTTTCTTTTACAATGTTCACATTGAAAATTAGGACAGATCACCCAGGTCAGAATCTGTATCAGAATAAAGAAGTACAAGAGCATTCAAGAAACTAAAAAAAAAGTACACAGAAAACAAAAAGTGCATTACTTTAAGTCATCATGAATGTGCTGTGTATCGTGCTACATCTTTAAAACAAAGTTTGTTTAAAAAAAGTAAATTTTTGCTTCACTGACACTCTGTACCTGAAGTTTGAAATCCATCACAGATTACAAGGACCTCATCATTGTGATTTCTTTTGATAAATCATTTAAAGAAACAGAGCACACAGTGAAACCATTACAAAAGTAGAAGGGAAATGTAAAGCTGATGCTAGAATAAAACACATAGTAAAAACAGCAGCGACATAATCCTGCTATGTATTTCAATCTCTGTATACATGGGAAAAGCCCCTAACCCACCACATCGAAACATTAATTTCACAATGACTGTACACAGTTCCAAGTGCTAGGCACGCTCACATTTCTGGGAAAAGCACAATTATCTTGTAGTAATATATCTTACGCTCAAACCCAATACCCGTCATGCAGTAGCTTGTAGTACCCAAAACTGCTAACAGCACGGTTTCAAATATTTTTTTTGACCACTAGTGCAATTTGTCTTGATTCTGAAATCTTCTCACAAACACCAATTTTAATATAAATGCTGGTGTGCGTGCTCCTCATTTTCCAGTCACATCCTCCATTCCTTATAAAGTGTCATCTCCAGTCTCTTTCTTATTTGTCTGTCTGTTCATCAACTATAAAACACTAGTTTTTGTTTTGGGGAAAAAAGATTACCATTTAATTTACTACTAAAATCTACAGCAGGGAATTAACTTCCTCATATCCAGGCTGCTCGTGCCTAGCAAACTCGGGGTTTCTCCCAATGTTTGCAGGGATCTGTGTACTAGCTCTGCTTGTGAGTTCTGGATGGCCAGAAAGGGCAGAGCTTATGAATCCTAGCTTATATTACTTCTATCAACTTGCAGTCACTGTAAACACATCATTGAATGGTAGCATCAGTCCATAGCTCTCGGGCAAACATTGCAAAGCCCTTTATGCTATAAACTGGCCTCCCATTGTAAATGCAGTCCCTAAAGAAAGTGGAAAACTACCCACATCTGGGTCACGTGCAGGTCATTGCATTTCCTGAGACTTACTAAAAGCCTACATCACCAAATAGTAAAAAAATCTTTACATCATGCTGTAACTTTTCATGTGTGAAGAGATTTCTGTCAAAATAAAATTAGAAAAGGGAAACCTTAACTCCATTTCGGTTTATCTAGCACAAATTAATGTAAATGCTCATTCAGTAGTTTATTTAACATCGTGATGGTACACCATATCAAAACACCTTGACAAACAAAAGGGAGTATCTTTCTCCAGCTGTCATAAATACACCAGCCTGAATATTCAGGCTCCACAACAAGCTGAAGTAAAATTGGTATCTTTAACAGCAGGACAGATTCACTAGTCTCTAGAGGAAATTGCAGCCATAAAAAATCCACAAGGGCCTTGAGAGGAGGACAAAAAAAAGAGATTTAAACCATCTCTTTAGGATGCCTGTGTCACTTTGTAGCAGAGCTGAACAGCTCAAGAAGACAGGATTCCAGGTTTAAACGTTAGTGCAGAGAGAGCTTCTGGCTGAACATTGTCGACAAGGAACAGATCCTTTCAACAGAGGAGGGGGTTCTGTTCCTTTTTAAATTTTTGGCAACGTCTGTCACAAGTGGGATGGAAAAAGCCAGGAGAGTACTCGTGTCTGTACACACATCAGCAAGAACACGCTGGCTACACTGGACACTGTGTAAACACATCATGGACACAACTACAAGCCCACGGACACTCAATGCTTTACATTCTGGCATTTTCAGAACTTGGTCAACACACGTGAAATTCCACTCTCCTTTCCTTTAATAACCTGTAGTGGTTGCCACCTTGAAGTCACATCCCAGAGACAAGTCTTTTGTACGGCATTCTTAAACCCAAAAAGCAATCGTGCTGTTTGGCCAGTCCTTTTCTCCCTCTTTATTTCTGTACAGTCTTTTCAAAAAGTATTAGTCATTCTGTTATTCTTGGGCTGATGTGATTGATCTACCAGCTGGCGATCTACCCATACTTCCTTCTTTATCCAAATTTCATTTGGTGCTTTTTGTTTCTCTTGTTCAAAACTGGTTGCTGGAATTTCAGTTCAAGGGTAAACTTCGAGTGTATCAAATTCTTAACCTCCAAGTAAGGGTTTATCCAAAGTGAGCAAAGTGCCCTGCAAGAAAGAAGCAGAAAGTCAAAGTCTGTAGCTTACTACTCACAGGTTGTGATTTACACAAGTCTAACTAATATACCTCCGACAGAGACATTTTATTTTTTGTTTTCTCTGGAATGGCTAATTTCCTTTAGCAAGTTATAATTTACCTGCCTTTGCTTAATTTAAAAGAAATGAGAATATTAGAACAGGTTCTGAAAGGCACAATGACACAGAAGATTGTTGCACCATTAGCCAATACATTGGCCCAGATTTTCTTCCAATTTCGAAAATGATGACATGGATAGTAAATGTTGCCATTTAATTGCCTAATCCCGATGTAGATTGTGTACTCTTCATTTTGATGCTCCTGGTGGATAACATAGTAGTGGGAATTGGGTAAATCAAAGGGTTGAATTTAACGGTCAAAGGCAAAAAGCTTTGTGATGAAATGGGACTGCTCAGTCACCATTTCTTTTACTGAACTGTCACCAGATATTCATTAAATACATTAAAAATTTATCTTGTTGTCTCAAACACTTAAGAGAATTAGTAAAATAAATAAGCATCATGTTGGTGCCGTTCAGGTGAAGTTAGATCACATGGGATTCAGGATGAGCTTGCCAATCGGATATAAAATTGGCTTTCTGATAGGAGCCAGATGGTGGTGGTGGAAGGTTGTTTTTCAGACTGGAGGCGTATGAGGATCCAGTGGTGTTCCACAGGGATCGATACTAGGTCCACTTTTGTTTGTCATTTACATAAATGATTTAGATGAGAATACAGAAGGCATAGTTAGTAGTTTGCGGATGACATCAAAAATGGTGGTACAATGGACAATGAAGAAGTTGTCTAAGATTACAAAGAGATCTCAATCAACTGCGTCAATGGGCTGAGGAGTGGCAGATGGGGTTTAATTTGGATAAGTGCGAGGCATTGCATTTTGGTAAAAACAAACATGGGCAGGACTTATACAATTAAAGGTAGGGCCCTGTGTAGTGTTGCAGAACAGAGAGACCTAGATGTTCGGGTTCATAATTCTTTGAAGTTTGCATCATACGTAGACAGGGTATTTAAGAAGGTGTTTAGCATGCCTGCCTTCATTGCTCAGACCTTTGAGTAAAGGAATTAGGACATCATGTTGAGGTTGTACAGAACAGTGGTGAGTCCTTTTCTGGAATACTGTGTCCACTTCTGGTTACCTTGTTATAGGAAGGATATTATTAAGCTGAAGAGGGTTCAGAAAAGATTTGCTAGGAATGGAGGGTTTATGTTATAAGGAGAGGTTGGACAGGCTAGGACATTTTTCACTGGAGCATAGGTGGTTGAGGAGTGATCTTACAGAGATTTATAAAATCATCAGGTGAATGGCAGATGTCTTTTCCCTAGGGTGGGAGGTTTCAAGACTAGGGGGCATATTTTGAAGGTGAGAGGAGAGAGATTTAAAAAAGACACAGGGGCAACTTTTTAAATAGAATGGTTCGTGTATGGAATGAACTTCCAGAGGAAGTGGTGGGTGCAAGCACAGTTACGATTTTAAGTGCGCAATTTTAATCATCCTGTTCTTCTGAAATGATTTTGTTGGAGAGTAGTTTGCTCTCTACATCTTTCATTGTAATCTTTTGACTGTTCCTTTAACATGGAAAGAGATAAGCATTATTAATCGACTAGAGTTTCTCCTTTGATCTTCATCAAACATTCAATCATAGCATGGTGATCGTACAAGTTGAAGTTGTTTGGCCCAATGTTGTTAAGCTGACTCTGTGGAGGAGCAGATCAGTTAGTACCACTCCTCATGCCCTTTATCTGTAGCTCTGCAACTTTTCTCTCCTCAGATATTTATGCAATTCCCTTTCGAAACATAATTGCATCTACCTCCACCACACTCTCTGATAGCGCATTTCAGATGTTACTTACCTTGCTTAGTTAGTATTTACTGATCCTTGCATGTTTGGATTCTGCGTGGGATATCAAGATAAATACTTATTAGTTCCACTGCGTTGAGACAAGGAAAACTGAAGGAATAAATTAGCTCACAGCCAAGGCACTGGCGCCACTGAGCCTGTGGTGTGTATTTGAAGGCCATCAGTTCTTTATTACATACACGGTTAGATTTTCATCTGGGCTTTTTGAACAGCGGGTTCTTTAAAATAGCGCAGCCTGAGATGTTAATTTATCTTCCTTCTTCAGGTACTGTCAGAAATATTCTGCACTTTGCTTTTTAATGCAAGTGAAATAAAATTTGATAACATGCTTGACTGATTACAAATTAAATATGGGTAATTAATAACTACTTACGTATCACTTGACAGAAAGGATTTATTTAGCAAAAAACAGAATGAGTGCTGCAATATTTCTCATTGTTGAATGGTTTCATCTCGACTGCACAGGGAAAACATATTCAGCATCTGATATTTGTACAGCACTCCCCTTAGAATAATATCTCTTTACAGACAGCATGAGAGAAACTGAATAGAAAACGAAGGGAATAACGTGAACAGAAGGCACACAAGAGAAAGGAATATCAAGAAGGTTTCTGAAAAGAAAAGCTGTTGAAAATTTTCAAAGAGAATTGCAGTGGGCAGGGACATTGTGGCAGAAAGGTAGGCCTAATGGAGGTTTAGATCAATTGGGAAGCAAAAGACAATTGAGACCTGGGAAACAGAGAGAATGGTCTAGCACTAGGTTTGCCAGATAGTACAATTTGTAGAGGATTTGTAAATGAGAATTGGAGCTTATGAATGAAAACAAGTTCAAAGCTGTAAGGAATCACAAAAGTATCCTGTTAAAAGATTTAAGTTACTATATATAGCAAAGTACAGAATGAAAATCAGTAATTTCCTTTAGTCAACTTTGCCAAAGTTATCAGGATTCAAGTAAACAGAAGTGCAAACCAGGAATGTTGAGTGTTTCTTTATAGGTGAAATTTCATCCTCTTAAACCATGGTTTTTAATCTTTTTCAGTACAAAGCAGAATAGGTTGCTGATCTACCCACTGTATGTGCAAGGCTTACAGCGACTATTCCAAAAATTGTGCATCCCTCACATGCAAGGCTTGCCTCAAAATGGCAGTAATTAAATTCAAAATTGAGCACGTGGAAGAGATTATATTCAAACCCACGAGAGAGCTTGCACCTTAAGCAGCACATTCAACCTGCTGGGTTAGCACAGGATAGCTGAATTTTTTTTTCCCCAACAAGCCAAGAATGGAACAAACAATGGTGGAGAGTCCTCTCCGAATGGTTAAAGAAGGGGAGGGAGAAATAAACAGATACAAGGACAACAAAGAAGATATGACTCGAGATTTATAAATGTGTTAAATATTGGAGTTCTGTGCTTTTAATCAATCAGTATTAGTTTCATCATTGTATCTGGATGAATTCCTTTATGGATTGCAAAGTGTCACAGGATCATAGATTTGTTACGGTGCCGAAGACAGCCATTCAGCCCATTGTGCTAACACTGGCTCTCTGCATTTTAACTTTGTGCCAGTCTCTTGCCTTTTCCTTGTAACACTGCTAATTGTTACTATTTAAACAATTATCTAATGCCCTCTTGATGCCTCAACTGAACCTGCGTCCATCACATTTCCAGTGCATTCCATACACTCACTATTCGCCATGTGAAAAAGTTCTCTCGTTGGCTTTTTTTTGTAAAACACTTTAAACTTGTGCCCTCTGGTTCCTGATCCTCTGTGAGAACAGTTTTGCCCTATCTGTTCAACCACCTACCGATTTTGAAAACCTCTACTGAATCTCTGTTTAGTCTTCTCCTCTCCAACCAAAACAGTCCCAACGTCTCCAAACTATCCTCATTACTGAAGTTTCGCATTCCTGGAGACATTCTTGTAAACCCCTTCTGTACTCTCTCCAATGCACTCACATCCTTCTTAAGGTGTGGCACCTAGAACTGTATAAAATACTCCAGCTGAGGTCTAACCAGTATCTTATACAAGTTGAGCATAACTTCTCTGGTCTTGTACTCTATGCCCCTATTAAATGACACCGAGGGCATTGTATGGTTTATTAATTTCTTCTCTACATGTCCTGTCATTTTTAATTACTTATGCAAATATACACCAAGGTGTCTCTAATCCAGCACTCTGTTTCGAATAGTACATTTTATTTTAAACTCTCTCTCCACGTTCTTTGTACCAAAATGTACCACGGCATATTCCCTTGCATTGAAACTCACCTGCCACCCGACCACACACTCCACCAATGTCCTTTTGAAGTAGACAGGATTTACACCAAATGGCTAATCTGCTTTTACATAATTCTAACCAGATAGGAATAGATTGTGAGTGAATATATTCTAAATTGTTTAAATTGTAGCTAATTCATGTTCTGAGTCTTCATAATTTACAAGACAGAACATATTATTTCATAATACACGTACCAATGCTCCCTCTAAGCTGTGCATTTGAAGGTTCCTGCACAGATTGCACACAAATTGGTCTTTTGCAGTCACTGTGCACACAGCAATGTGAAAACTATTTAAATGATCACACATATGAACGAGTTGGTCACACGTACACTTTTGCCCCTCATTATCCCATACATTACATACTGACATTTGTGCAATCTGTGCAAGGAATTAACAGTTCCAAGTAATTATAAACAAAAGCCAATAAATGCTAACACCACTGAATGCTGCACATAGCCTATGAAGTTTCAGGCACCACAACAAACATTTAAGGGTTTGATGCTTCATTGTGATTTGTTTCATAAGTGTTACATTGATTTATAACATATTCATGAGACAATATTCATGCTGGAAATTAATATTTAAAGTGTGATTATTCAAACGAGTGCAAAGTAAAAAGCCACTTTGTAACATTGTAAACAATCCATTTACAATCTATCTACATATACTTGAAGCCAGCTATCCCTTTAGGCCCATCTCTTCCCTGGCCCGCCTCAAATGTTTGATCAACTTAATTATTTGGCTGATGGTTGATTGATTTTATTGTCACATGTACCGAAACACAGTGAAAAACTTTATGAGCGGTACACACAGAT